GGGGGGGATACAACTTCAGCATGTCTGGTCTGAAAAAAGAGTAGATTGGAAGTCTATGGAATCCTTTCTCCCCCTGAAACCTTCGTTCAGTGCTTCTGAGTGCAATAAATCTTGGACACATTTTAGAGGAATCCTGATTGTTGCTTTGCTTTTTCTTTCTTTTTCATTTATTTGACTTCTTGATCAGTTTCTTTCTTTGTTTCTTTCTTCTTTTTCTTTCTTCTTTCTTTATCTATTCATTTATTTAACTTTGTCTTGCTTTCCTTTGTTCCTTCTTTATCCCTGTAGATCTAGGCCTATTATTATTTTCATTGACCGATCAGTTGACCCATTTATTTATTTAGCCATTCTTTCTTTCATTCATTTATCCGTTATTAGCTAAGGTGGAAACTTTCGCAGGCCCTCAAATAGTAACATACTCACAGAATCTTTCACAGTTGTATCCGGGTACCTATCCCCACCTGGGTATGGTTAGTAAAAGGTCTTTGCTAAGTAACAACTTCGGGAATGTACCCAGATTTGAACCTTCGGCCTTACGGTTATGAGTTCAGCAGCTTAACGAATAAATCGTGTCGTCAAAACTAAAAGTAAAGGGTTCTCAGATCCTCTCGAGATAATGAGAGACAAACAGACAAATGGACAACAGACAAATAGACAAACAGGCTAAAACAGAAAGAGAGAAAGTGAGTGAGAGAGAGAGAGAGAGAGAGAGAGAGAGAGAGAGAGAGAGAGAGACATACACAGACAGAAATATATATATAGAGAGAGAAGACACTTGGCTCTGAATACAAGTGCATGTACATGTATATCACCAAGTAAAAGACACTTTTCAAATATAGATCGCACAGCAGAATCATGATCCTTGACATTGGGCAGTCTGGGCTATACAAAAAAGGAACTCCTGTTGAATCGTCAGCCCCGCTGTTCCGCCAACTTCAGGCCCATTCCAAGGCTGGCAGTATAACGAGGTTTGACTGTATATTCCAAAAGCAAACATTTGAGCAGGGTGTCCTCCCACACAGTATGAGCTAAGGCAGAGACTGCATGTATTTCACTATCAGTTCAGTCCTTAGTCTTAGCTTTAGTTAGGGTCAGTCAAACACATTCAAAATTGTGTCAAGAAAAGATGTGTCTTTTTTACCACCAAACCACAGTTAAATCAGGAAACTAGAAACAAACACAAAAAATAAACCTGATATTTTTTGCTATCATAGCACTGCATCCTGACACATTAGAACAAACATTCCCCAAGCATTACTGATCTAAAACATTTATGTTAGTCTCACACTGATTTCATTGATTCAACAAAATTGGAGGATGGACCCGACATATTTTTTAGATGTAAGATTCATTGTATTCTACTTAACATTATGACTTTAGGAGGATAACTTCCTCTTTCTTTTCTCAATACTGTAGTAAAAATTACATCTTCCTAGCCTGGATAATAAACATTTTAATTTCTTCTTCCTCACCTTTATGTAGCGTAAACTTATTCCCCCTTATCAATGAATCAGTTAAAAATTGAAATGATTTTACCTTGCACAAAAATTGAACAATTAACTTTGTCTCCCTTCCCCCTTTCTTGTCTCAAACAGCTTTTCCATAACCGCTGGAGTTCAATATGCATGACAAGAAAACTATTTTGGCTTGCTGCATCACATTCAATTTCAACCTGTGTTCAATACAACAAAATTTTAACGACAACAGCATCACAAACATAGCTGCCCCTTGCAAAAAGGACCTCAGTTGTACTTGTAAACCAAAAAGTTCTTGATTTTTTGGGGAAGATTCAGTCTTTTCACTTTCCTGATGGGCACACAAGACAAAATGCGGTCTCTGCAGAGCTCCTGAAGTGAGAACTGTCTGGGTATCCTCCAAAGTCGAAGGTGACCATCACATGACGTGCTGACCAGATGCTCCGCATTCTGGGAGAAGCTCAGGTTATGCACAGCCGGATAGTACGGATAAACACGCTGAGTTTGGTCTTGGCACAGTTCCGACATGGGGATTGAGTGGACACAGGTTAGTTCATCACTCTCAAGAATGTGAATATCAAAATTGTGAAAGCCCACAGCTAAAATCGTACCATCTGTGCTGTAGGTTATGCAGTCTATATGTTCTTCTGTGTCGACTGACAGAAGAATCTCTTCTTTTTCTATATCAACAATCTGTATTTTCTTGCTGGCTGTCCCAATGGTGATAATTTCACAGTCAAAACACGGGTTAAAGTCAAAAGCTTGAGCGGCAGAAAGAGCATCGTCCACTAAGTCAGGACAAACGTTGATCGCCAAGTCCATCTTGCGACGTCCCACCATAAAAAGATAGCCCCCAGCACCACTCACTGCAATGAGGTTCCAGTCAGGGGAAAACTTACATGCTACATTGTCTGCCCTTGTTTTAGAAGGCAAAAAACCTGGGCAGAGGTTATGACAGCGTACGCTGTCAGCACCTATGAGACTGACGTCCAAAATGTGGGTCTCTAAGAAGAAGACACCCATCCCTCTCTTCAAACACGCCAGGAAGATGCCATTACTGGATACAGCACAGTAAACATGTACGGCATTTGTAAGGTCTCGGGAGCGAGAGTAGACGGGGTCAGCATCTGATGCCAGGACCGCCACTTCCCCAGTGCCGCAGTAGCAGATGAGCTGGCCCAGCGGGTGGGGCTGCATCTTGGGGAAAACCGAGCAGCTAGTGCGGCTGAAGATTTCGCACCCTGAGAACAAAGACAACACGCGCTTGTTAGCAATAAATGTCTTGCACTTAGTATATACTTCAGATTCTTACATCTCTCACGGCTGTTAAAATGCGACTGAAAGTGGTACTTTAGTTGGTGGCCGAGCCCCAGTCTGACCTCCCGGGTGAAGGTAATAAATCGGTGTCAGTGTGCCACTCCCGTGCTTAACAACCGTGACGATAGCGATGCCCGCCGCTGTGCCTGCGTAACTCGGTTCTGGTAATTTTCGTATCACTCTCCCTCGTTATTTCTCCCAATCTGATAAATCTAGAAGCCTGTTTATCATCTCATTTTAAAGATCATTTTAAGACTAAAAAGACGATCCCACTTTCGCTCCGGAAATCTCACTGGTGTTATAGCAGTTACGCATTTTGCAGTACAAGTGTTTTGTTCATCTAATGTTGCATTTTAAATTATATTCCATTTTGGAGTTAATTATCTCAAAAGCCAAACTCAGATTTTTCACTCAGATTTCTCTGCTTCACTTGAGACAGCAATACTTGAACCGTGTGAGCAAATGTTATTTGTGGGAAGCGAATGTGTGATTTTATATGATATTTTAAAAAAGGGTACCCCCTCCCCTGTGATTCACTCGCATGTGATCTTTCATTTTTCTTCTTAAATACCGCGTTATTTTTCCAACACTTCTCATCGCTTTTTGGGAATATTTTAGCCCAGTTAAGAAATGGAGAAACATATAGAGGATTCGCTTTTTCAAAAGCTGCACGAACATTTCAGAACTGGTGGTGGCTGAACACTATCAATCAAGCAGAAGGCACAGAAAAGGCGACCCCTGCAGAGTTCTAAATTTGCGTCGGACACTCTGTTTGCCTTAGGTGTTAGCATTACAATGGACTCACAGACAGTACATTCAAAAAACCATCTGTAAAGCTTGCGTGGACAAGATAAGACATATGGAGTTGTGGGGAGGAACTAAATGGGGAGGTTAGACATTTAGAAGGTTGCGATGTACTTTCTGACTCTGAAGAGGAGAAAATTAACTTTCAAAAACAACAGACGGAGAAAGAAGACAGGTTGTCGGAGTTAGAGCATGAACCCCCTAACCCTAGGACTGGCCCTATCTGTTCTCATTTAGACAGCATACTTGATTCGCACAACATCACACCGCAGGTATATCACGGCCGCTCTTTCATTGGCAATCACTGCCACAAATACATTTTGAGTCGCGTTTATAAAGACCTCACGGCATTTATTGTAAAAGAAACAGTAGAAAACACCCACAACCAAAACATAATTGACACGGCTTACACTCTCATAGAAAAATTCAATCATTAAACAACGCGTTTCGGGACGTTCATATTCACATCTCACACGGCCAACCAGTGTCAAAAGACGGAATACCACACTTTGACAACATGCATCAAAACTTACATGTCATTCTACAGGAGACACTCTAGTGAAAAGGTACTTCCCAAACACCACATTCTCAAAAACCACTGCATCCCGTGGATACAAGCATATGGGTTTGGTTTGGCTTTACATGGGAAACAGGGTGGTGTACTGATCCATGCTTCTGTGGCAAAGCTAGAGATAAGATGAGCTGGGATACGTAATATCGAACAACAGCTGAAAGTTGTCATGCAATCTTACCCCGTCATGTCAAATCCAAAACTATTATCCAACGTGCCTCCGACAAAGAAAAAAAAGGTGATACTGCAATCAACTCTTCACTACTCCAAAACCATGGACTTCCCTCAAAAACAGCAAAGTGAGTTTTGATATTTGACCATTTCTGGTGTATTTTATGTGAAATTGAAGGGTTGATTAAGTCTTGTTTGATTGGAATTTAGATTTAAAAATATTCACGCCAAAGGGCAATGGTAAAATATGAGCCATTTTTGGAGCGCTATATATATATTTATCGTTATTTCATACAATTTTGCATCTTTCTCAGTAAGTACAGAGGTTCCCCCTTGTTCCAAACAGGCAAAATAAAATGACAATAAAGTCACAGATCGGCGTATTTTGAGAGTTTAATTGTCCTAAAAATGAAATGAACAATGCTGTTAGCGGGACACGGGGAATTCCCCTGGCCACGAGTTCATGACCCGGTGACCGGGGTCAGATTACAAGGTGCAGCGCGCTGGCTGCCTGCAAACTAAAGTACCGCTTTCTAACAGCCGTGCTCTACGTTCAACAGAATAGATTGTAAAAAATGGCTTGCGAAAAAAACAAAAACAACTCACGAAGTCTGTCAGGGTTTTCAATATTGTACAGAAGAACTCTCCCATTTGGTATGCGGGGTTGAGAAATCCAGTGGTGCATTGCACGAGGTTGAAATGCAGAAGCAGTGGCAAAAAGATGGCCATCATTGAAGGGAACGAACTGTGCATCGCACCACCAAAACCAGGAGGAGTCATCAACAGCACGGTCTGTGGACAAGGATGGAATGCAATGTCTCTTTCATGAGATGTTCGTAGAGGAAAAAAAATTGTTGATAGTAAGAAAAAAAGGAACAATTTAAAATTATGTTGACGTTATGAGGTGTTCATTAAGCCACACTTTATCATAAATGACAAAGTGATAGTTCGTGTATTATTGTGCAGTGATTAAAAACTTACATGATTTCACAACAACTCTTTTAGCCAATACCTATTCAAAAGTCATCTAGGCAGCAATGAAATATTCAAGTGAAAGCAGTGTCATTCCACTATTTCTATCTATGCTCACACACACACACACACACACACACACACACACACACACACACACACACACACATACATATACACACACACAGACACATACACACACACACACACACACACACACAGTGGCATCCAAAAGAAACTGGAAAAAGTATTCACCCAATCATTATATTAATAAAGCCTTGCACTACAAACTCATGCAGCATACCAATTTAAAGTTCAATGAATTCTGCATCATCTGACATTAATTTTTTATATGCGATAAGAGTCATCAGAGATAGATATAATCTCTCAAAACTAACCTTAAAAAATCAAGCTTGGCAAAAAAGCGTAAATAAAATCAAAGAAACGTAATAGTGTGCTCACGATTGTATTGTAGAGTATAAACATTGGTGGAATGGACTCATATCAATTGAATGGAGAATATTATTGTCTCTGAAACGAACTAAGTGATGTTATGATATTTTGAGACAGATTGAAAAACAGAACAGTCATAAATACCACTCAAAACTTGGACTTAATATTAAAAGTACACATTAGTATTTCGTTTACAAGCCTTTGGTTTTGCGTAGAGCATCAAACCTTTTTGAGCATAAATTGTTTTTGTTAGCCTTAGGACAAAACCATGTGTCACTGAGGAACAGAGACCACAAAACTGCCATGGGTTAGGAGTGGTCTGGCTGGAATGAACAAAACCCCACTTGAGAGAATCAACATATGGCTTTGTTTAAATGTCTTCATGTTCATCATGCAAGTGCTGAAACGTTACGTCACATCCTTATTTTCGTATGGTGTCATTCAAGCAGACACCTTTATACATGACAAAGCACTTTCTCGCAGGGCCAACATCTTTAAACAACTCTTGGAAAGACTAATCATACCATCGATGGAGTGGCGTCATCTGTAAATAGCCCCGATATGAATCCTACAGATATATGAAAAAGCAGCTGAAGGAACACGACTTTGATCCCAGTTCAGACACTTTCTTGGTAACTCTCCATGACATTTACAGTGAAATGACAGACAATAATGCCCAAAATTTAAGACAGTCCATGCACAAAGGGATTGTGATCTACACAGAACCAATGTCTTCTTAACAAAATACTAATGAGCACGTGTAATGTTAAGTCCAAGTTTTGCATGATATTTGTGACTACTCTATTTTCCAATCAGTTTCAAACTATCATAATGAAATATCCTTTATTGCCAGGAAAAAAAATTCTTCTTATTTGATATGAAAATCATGTCCACTCCACCAATGTTGGCGCACTTTAATACCCACACAAACACACTTTTAAGTTTCTTTGATTTCACAGGATCATGCAAAATTTGTTTAGCTTTAAATTGGTATGCTGCATAAGTGGGTAATGCAAGGCTTTAACATGATGATTGGGTGAATACACTTTCAAGTTTTTTTCAGATGCCATTGTATGTAGACGGACAGACAGGCAGACAGGCAGACAGACAGACAAACAGACAGACAGACAGACAGACAGACAGACAGACAGACAGACAGACAGACAGATAGACAGACAAGTAGGTAGACAGACAAGTAGGAAGACAGATATCCAGATAAATACATTAACAAGTACACACACACACACACACACACACACACACACACACACACACACACACATCACTAGGAAAAAAATAGGACAAAATCAACAAAAACAGCTAAAAAATTATTTCTTACGCAATTTCTCCGGCAGTACATGAAAGTCTGTCAGAAGTCCATGTGCTCCAGCAGGCCATAGGTTTTTGTTGAAAGGGAGATAACTTGTAACGGGGTAACATCTCTCCTTGGAGGGCTGATCCCCGAGCATTTGTCTGAGATTCGATGGCCTAATACCCATAACTGCACTGATGTTTGAAAAATATCTGGAGATAATTGGAAATAATAATACATGAAAAAATCTTACCCACTGAAGACTTTCCATTAATCATACACACTAAAACATTTAAAAATTGATGAAATGTATTGAACATTCAGATTTTTAAAAAATCGAACTCTTTTCTTGCAGCATATTCCTTCGGCACATACAGGTACATTAGGTAGATATAGAGACTTTTTTCGAGTGATGTCACAATAATTGAACATCTTGAAGGTGGCCCAATTATAATATGTACTCAAATTCCAGAGTACGAATATTTTTCTGAGTGCTGCTTCATCATCTAGCTCAGTCACCGGTTTACCGATAGCACACACAAGTCGATAGAATGCAATAAGAAATAATCTATAGGCTAGAGGAAATTAAATCTGTCACATACAGAAACCTGTCATTACCCATAAATACTAGTCTTCATCCATAACAAATTGGTTTATTAAAAAATGGGCACCATGCATCCACTATCAATTGTTCTTAAATGTGTGTGGTGTAATAATATATATATATAAATATATACTATATGTATACAGGCCTACAGTCAATCTTCATCATACCATCAACCTTGGGATGAGCATGAAGTTGGCAGTATAGACGAGGCGGGGACAGGCAGTATAACCAAAGATAGTAGGGTGCAGTATCTTTGGTATAACGTGGTACTAATGATAATTAGCTGTCCTCTTAAATTTATAGCCCCAACTGCCCAAAGTCAATGAGGATTATTTCTGCTGTGTGATCTGTATTTTAAAAGTGTCTTTTTGTTGGTAAGTGGTATTAATTTAGAGCTGAGAGCATTCTCCGTCTCTATTTCCCTCTGTCTTTCTCTTTCTCTCTCTCATTCACTCTCTCTCTCATTCACTCTCTCTCTCTCTCTCTCTCTCTCTCTCTCTCTCTCTCTCTCTCTCTCTCCGCATTTATTTGTGTGTGTGTTAGCTCTCTCTTTCCGCATTTGTTTGAGTGTGTGTTGTGCATGCGCGCGCGCGTGTGCAAAATCAAATTGAAAATTAAATGTTCTACCAGAACACAGCTGCTACATGTCAAAGTCATGCTCCCTGAAATCTACAAGGCAAGGGCGGGGAGGGGGCAGATCAGCAACAAGCCCTGCTAGTTCACTGGGTAATATGCGGGGAAAAAGGAAGAATATTCAGTACTGCACACCATTTGCAGTATGTACATGTACTTCTACTGGCCAATTCACTATCAGTGTAGCACTAACAGGGTAAGTTAACATTTGCAAGGACCGTACAACTCAGAAGGAGCAATAAGTGTGTTTATACGAATATATATTCCTTTTTAATGGCAAAACCTGGCAGTAAGCATGCCTGTCATTTATAATGGGGATGACACAAAAGAGGTTCGACTGTGTATGTAGATACATATACATATAAATGTGTGTGTGTTTGGGTGTGCGTGCGTTAAATGCATGTGTGTATGCGTGCATTACATATATATACATATATATATATATATATATATATATATATATATATATATATATATATACATTATAAGGGGAGAGCGGGGAGGTCTCGGACACGGGAGGCTTCGGACACATCAATTCTCGCTAAACTATTGACAGTACATATATTGACACTGGATCAAATAACGTGCAATGAGAGGCTTAGCTTGCTGTGTTTTTATAACCTCACGGAGTGAAACCTTGCATATGCTCAGTAGGAAATTGTGTTTTTGGCAAGTGTGTGTCCAAGTTTTCACACCTCAGTTTGTAAGGTTAGCACCTCATTGCAGAGCACCAATCCTTTCCCAGAAATATGTATCAGTGCTTTACTTTAGGATGTCTGTTACGTGCCAAATTCATAAAATTAAAGCTAGCTTTCATGAAATCTGTTTCATGAACATGTTTCTTACACTACCCCATTGTAGGAAGACTTCGTACAACGGGTAGGGTGACTTTGTTCACTGTCCGAAGTCTCCTGACAACTAATCCTAATGTAAGAGTAGTTGAGTAGAAATCAGAGTTTCTACAAAACTTGAATTTTAAAAACTATAGATCTAGATCTGCTTCTGTTGTTGTCGTATTTCCCACACTGAACCATGTCAAGGAAATATATAGAGCCCCAAAAAGAAAAGAGCCTTTTATTTTAGTTCACAAAACGATGAAACTCGCCATTCATGCACTTGTTAATGACTCATAGTCTTTGCGTAGTGCAAAAGCTATGTGCAATGTGAAGAAATCTACCCTGAAAGAAAAATTTTAAACAGTATGAAGACATTGATGTATTTAAGAGATACTCATTCAAAAGACTGTACAATTTTTTAATGACCCTCTGGGGGTAAAAACTCTCGGAGAATTTGACCAAATGTTCAAGGATGTTCTTTTTACCCAACATTTTGGACATCTCGAGTTATTGGTATCATCTTAAAGCTTATTTATTTGACCATCTTGAGATGAAAAAATAAATTTTTATCTTTAATAGAAGTCGAGATATTTGCGATTGAAGGAGGTCGGGGTTGCCTGGTTTCAGAGGTAAAATTAGTGAGAAAATGGTCGCCAAAGTATGGTGATTTCCAAAGGATGATTATAGTCCTTAGAAACTGAAAATTTACATGCTGAGCCTCTAATCAATGATTTTTAGTAAAGTCCATACAGAAATATGTTTCTAAACGGACATAAAAAAGGTGTTGAACCAAAAAACAGAAATTAGAAAACAATTATATCAGACTGGAGGAAAAATGTCGATATCTTCGATTTCATTATATTGACGAGCACCTGATATTTTACCACTATGCCTCACATATCATATTTCATGGCGAACAATATAATCATGCCAGAAACATGGCATATGAACCAAATCTACCCGAAAAGAACTAGTTTTCTCTGTGCTGGTTCGAAAGTGGCACCCTTCCCGAGGAACCTAAAGAACGTACCTTTTGTTGTTATCAAACTTTTGGGATTATTAGGAAGTCACCAAGTGTGTCCACTTTGTCAGGAAAACGGTGTCAAAGAAAGACAAAGAGGACAACTATGAGTGTCTTTGTTATGAAAATTTGATAAGAAAGCAATGCTTTCATCTATCCACCGGTGAAAAATTTGGCCTTCGTAAAAAGACACCAGTTATTCCTCCATCAATTTGAGGCTGAACAAAGACGTTAAACAGCTTCTATAAATTTGCCGCTAAAATGGCACCTGTTGATGTTTCTTTTCTCATTTAAGTCTCAAGAGCATTTGGTTTTCATCTTCAAAAGCTCAAACAAAGTGCAACACTGGAAGCTCTTTTCATAAAGAAAATCCTGATTTACTGTTTCTAATCTGCAGACTTTGTTTCCTTTAGTCGTTTTCAATTTGTTGTGGTACGCCTCCTCGTACACTCTGACTGTCAGGTATATGGAATGACGGATCTCCTATTTTACTTCCTTCTCCGTCAGGACGTGAGAAGCCAGGAAAACTATACTATTGAAAACCCTTCAAACAGTCCATGTTCAAGAATACACCTATCTGGATTCGAACCAGAGGCCATAGCTCAGAGAGAAACAGCGATAATTAGCTTAGTAAATGGAGCACCTCCATTAATGCTGTGCTCTCACCAAATCCAGACGTTGACAGACTCTGAAAATAACGTGGAAAAAACACTTTTCATCTCTGTTTATTATTGCGAAAACCAGCTTGTTATTAGGGGTATCACTTTGACCATTTAGCTCTGTTTTACAATGATAAGGAGAGATTCTGAGATTCCTAGTCTACGCGTACATGTACAAAGGTGTATATAAAAGCAGACTGGTTTATAGACATCGTTGGATAACTGATAACTGTTTTCTACGATTTCAGTGAGAGTGAAATACATTCCCACACCTCAAACTAAAGGTAAAAGTATAGGTCGTATCTGCTGTGTCGAAGTTTTGCTTCTCAAATATGATATATGATACGTTGATATGTTCACCCCCTTGGTTGTCAGAAAGTTTTTCTTCACGTTTGTCCGATGCCTCCCCCCAGAGTGAGGAGGTTTCAGACATCTTAGGGTACCTCAGACATGATAACCATATGTGGTACAATGCGATGATTCATGAAGCTGATTTCGCAAGTGGTGATGCTCAAATGGCTTACAACAGTGAAACCTTTTTCTTTGGCTTAAATTGTTCCTGAAGGAAAAATGGTGGTGCCAAAAGTAAAACATGTCCAAAGCCTCTCATATATATATATTATATCTAGATCTATTATATATTTGGCAACTTGGAAACACATGTGTCACTTTTCCCATTAAACTACGACAGCTACAGAGTAGAAAACTGCAAAAAGATAGATAGGTCCCCAAGACAGAACCCGATTTTTGATTTTATTCATTTCCTGAATTTAGACATGCATATAAAGTCGAACCTGCCTTAACGGAAACCTGTGTAAAACAGAAACCTGTCTTAACGGAATCTCCCCACTCCCCCCTTGATTTATTCCTCTTTAATTACCTGTATGAAACGGAAACCTGTCCAGCGCGGAAACAGAAAGTAAAATCCGCTCCTTTCCGATGATTTCACCTGTCTAAGACGGAAAATGCTTTGCCCGCTCAGCCCTGATTTGAAACAAAACTCTCAAGTTTGGTTCCGCCGGCTCTAAACTAATGCTATGGTAATGCGGCTGGGTGAGAAAGGGGAGTAGGGGTGCAATTTGAGGGTAGATGCTACCCCATCATGCGGGCCCTGAGCAATGCAGATGGTCAGTGTAGTGTGGGTGTGAAATCTCAAGACTGTCCGTGAGAGTGCTCGAGTAGCGCCACTACGGAAACTTTCCTGGGTACCCAGAAGCCAGAGGTGTGAAATTAGTTTGACCAATGCCTGCCGCTCTGATCATACGCCAGCCGAGGAAAGAGTTTCTCAAATCGTTGTTATATGATGGCAATGAAGGGTGGCATTGGTTGACTGTGCTTGTTACACCGATGGGTGGGGCTAAGGGTGGAAGCAAAGGAGATGTTCAAACGTTTCTGTTTTTAAAAGGTCAAACAGTGGTCCTATGAAAGGCAAACACTGGTGGTAATTGGACAAGTAAGACTGACGCATGTCATTATCAGAGAGGATAGCAGCTGAGAGGTGTGAAGTTTTGACCACTGCTTGCCGATCGGTCGACAAGCGATCCTTGATCCCACCGGCTGGGCCTTTGAACCCCCCCGCCCATCTCCCCCTAAATTCCCCTGTCTAAGACGGAATTTTTTTCTGGCTCCCTTGCGATTCCGTCTTACACAGGTTCGACTGTATTTCACAAAAAGTTCCCGCCTTCTTTGGCCTATAAATTGTGATTATTCCACTGAGAAACCAAACAAATCTGCATATATATAATATATATATAGCCTAGTTGTCCACCATATAGGCCT